GAATCATGGGCTGAAGTTAGCTTGTCTTAAGCTGAGTTTGAGATGGTATGTTACAGAGCAAAAAGAAAACTGACATAAGAAACAATCTAATAAAACTCTCCTGTAATAGATATGACCAGGAAATATCTTAATGGCTCCTGTATCTACTGGCATGGTTTATTTCATTTAGTCTCTTTTATGTGCAGGGAGGGCCACACAGTTTATCTTCCAACCAGTATGCTCTCAGAGTAAACTGAGACTGTCATAGACAAGCTGGGGTATACAGCCACCTTCCATTTGCAGTATCATATTGAGGAAGATCTCTTTATTTATGCCGTTCCTCAACCACAGAATGCCATGGCTGGTAAGGAATCTAGAGATCTTAGAAATCTTTATCAACAATGGACAAAAATGGAGCTCAGAGAAGTACATGTCCCAAAGTTGCTCAGCTTATTAGGTAGGACAGGGAGAGAAAACTGCCAGAGTCAGGGTAGTAGAATGAAAATGATCTGGAATCAGGAGCCTTCAGCTCAAGTCTCCCTTAATTGCGTCTGTGAAATCATGCTTTCAGTTATGTGTGAGTGTCTTGGTTAGGGTTTCTATTGCTGTGATGAAACACCATGACAAGAAGCAACTTGGGGAGGAAAGGGTTCATTTAGTATACACTTCCATCATTGTTCATCATCTAAAGAAGTCAGGACAGGAACTCAAACAGGGCCAGAACCCAGAGGCAGGAGCTGATGCAGAGGCCATGGAGGGGTGCTATTTATTGGCTTATTCCTTATGGCTTGCTCAGCCTGCTTTCTTATAGAACTCAGGTCCACCAGCCCAGGGATGGTACCACCCACAATGGACTGGACCTTTCCCCATCAATCGCTTATTAAGAAAATGCCCTTCAGGCTTGCCTACAGCACCATCTTAGGAAAGCATTTTCTGAACCAAGCCTCTTTCCTTTCAGATGACTTTAGCTTGTATCAGGTTGACATAAACTAGTCAGCACAGCAAATATGCCTTGGTTTAGTTATTAAACTTAGAGACTATGCATTTTGTGTTATCAAACCCTTTAAGGGCTTTCCTATGTGGTCCTTAGTGCTGAATATTTGCTGAAGAAATCTAAAGACAGTCAAATATTCCCTTGGTAGTCTTATTGCTTGGAATAGCACACAGAAAAACCAGAGAAAGATAGAAAATAATCTATTTCATATTATGACTGGTGCTTGGGGAGCAAGGAAAGTGAGAGCTAATATTCATTGTTTTGACTGGATTTGGAATCACACAGGAGAGATACCTCTGGGTTTGTGTGTGAGGGCACTTCCAAAGAGGTGTAACTGAGGAAGGGAGACTCGTCCTGAATGTGGGTGACAGAATCCCATGGGCTGGGGCCCCAAACTGAGTGACAGAAGAAAATGAGTGGGGTATTAGTATTCACCTTGATCTGCTCTGACTTAGGATGTCACATGACCAGCTGCTTCATGCCTTCCCCGTTCTGATGGAATCTATCCTTTTAAAACCATGATCCAAAATCAATCTTTCTTCCCTCAAACTGCTTCCATTCAGGTATCTTGTCACAGCAATAAGAAAAGTGACTAATAGAGAAAGAAAGCTTGCTGGCCCAGGTGGCAGGGCCTGGCCCTCATGGGTAGGCTGCGGGGTGAAGAGTGGGTCAATGTTGTCACCCAGAAGAGTGCCACACGCAGCTCCGTTTTCTCATCAGTCAGACTTGTCATGATCTAGGTGTGAGGTGTGGTAGTTAATACTCATTGTGAATTCGGGTGGACTTAGAATCACCCAGAGGATTTGTGGGCACACTGCTGGATATGTCTGTGAAGGTGTTTTCAGAGAGGGCGAATGGAAGGGGACAGACCAGCCAGGATATAGATGGAATGAGAGGGGAAAGGAGAAGGCTGTTGGAACATGAGCGTTTCCTCTTTGCCTCCTGCCTACTAGAAGTGAAGAGCAGCCCAGCCCACGAAGTTCTGCCCAAGGGCATGGGGCAAAGCAACAATTAGCTCCCATTAGTCACTCCGTCCTGTCACTCTGGATTATATCACATTCCTTCTGTAGGGAGTTAGAAAACTATATTTAGTTTTCTGAGGTTCCCTTTTGGGGTAAAAGAAAACACTGAGCCAAACAACATAGAATGAGGGGGATGATTGACATATTGGTTACTTTTCTTGTGGTTGTAACAAAAGAAGACAAAAGCAACTTAGGGAAGGAAGGGCTCTTTTGGCTCACAGTGGGAGTGTACAGTAGTAGTACCAGACAGCTGGTCCCATTCCCAGTCAGGAAGCAGAAAGAACTGGGTGGGGTGTTCAGCCGCTCTTCTCCTTTTTATTCAGTCTGTCAACCCCAGCCCATGGGTTGGTACCACTCACATTTAAGGGCAGGTCTTTCCTCTTCAATTAACCTAGAATCTCTCACAAATATGCCCAGAGGCCAGTGTCTGGTTATTTTAGATTCTGCCAAGCTGACCATCAGTATAAACCATCAGAATGGATAATGAACACATTGCAGAACTATCAGCGCAGTGTGAGCCATGAAAGTGGGCGGAGTCAAACACATGGGCTGCTTTGCTATGGCTTCCAGGAAGCCAGTCCTTCTTGAAGGGCAGATAGATGCTCTGAAGTTGTAACTTGGATTAAGAAACTTAAATATTGCTGCCGGGTGGTGGTGGTGCACACCTTTAATCTCAGCACCGAGGAGGCAGAGGCAGGTGGATCTCTGAGTTTAAAGTTAGCCAGGTCTATAGAATGAGTTCCAGGGCAGTTAGGACAGAACCACATCTGCTGTGTGCATCTGTTATGAATGAAGCTGTACTGTAAAGAGTCCTTCCATGGGTCTTTCCTAGTGTCTACTGCATGGCTAAGACATGGCTCTCTACCAGGCTGGGTTATTTACAGTGCAGACTAGTGGGATAGGTTTTTTTTTTTTACCCATTCCCCCTCCAAATAAGGAAAGTAGGGTCTCCAGGAGGACCTTGAAGATTTCTGCAAACTTGTCTTGAATGTGACCACAGAATTTTATTTCAGATTTTTTGTTTTCAGATTTCAACCTTCTGGTATCAAGAAATCAAAGGGGGAAGAAGCCATATTGTTGGTGGCAGAGACCTGGGTCCGAATCTCAGCTCCATTTTTCTGGAAGGTGACTAGATAGGATTTAGTTGACTAACTCGTGTCTCTTTTTCTTACACCAATAATACATGTATATGCTACCATAAATGTTTCCTGAGATCTCACAGTGTAGTTTGTTGAAAAATATTAGTGCAGAATCTGACGTATGATAGGTACGTGCTTCTGTAGAGTGTGTTGGTACCCTTTTTGCCTCGCTATCTTTTCTACCTCTAGGGCAAAAATGAATGGTTCAAGAATCTGGTTCACTAGCCCTGAAGTGTATGCTCCTGTGATTAATCTACACATAGATTGCCTTTTGCTGACTGTAGGATGGTAATGAGTTCACAGCCCTTGATATCTGATGATATTAAATAATAATATTGGTTATAGTGATGACAATAAAATTGCAGAAAGATATAAGATATGTAGGCATTTGCATTTCTTTAAATTATTTTTAAAATACCTCCAAAAGGAAATTGCTTTCCTGCTTGGACTTTGAGAGATCTTGACTCCTTAAGAGAAAATCAGTATGATGGTTTTAAGTTCTTGGACATTTTTCTCATCAAGAGATTCCATATGGTATATTTTAGGTCAACTTTTTCTTTTTAAGGTTTCATATTTTAAAAGTTGTGTGTATGTGTCTATACTTGAGTTTGTATGCACCTGAGTGCAGATGCCCTCAGAATCAAGAAGAGGGCATCTCTGGAGCTGGAGTTACAAGTGGTTGTGAGCCACTTAATGTGTTTGCTGAGAACTGGACTCAGGTCCTCTGCAAGAGCAACTGAATTATTTCTCTTGCCTCTAGACAAACTACCCCCTCCCTTTTTAAATGACAGGGTCTGACCTCTCTCTATATATCTCTGGCTGTCCTGGAACTTACTCTATAGACCAGGCTAGCCTCAAACTCAGAGATCCATCTTCCTCTACCTTCCAAGCACTGGGATTAAAGGCATGTGCCACCACCACCCAGCTGCCACTATGTTCTTTTAATTACAGCAGGTGTTTTGGCTAGTAGAGTATAATTGAATTGTCAGTACATAGCTTCAGAGACAAGGGAACCAAAGACTATGCAACTCTGCCTTCTGCTATTAGAATGCTCATTTTTGGAGGTCTGACCTCTTATGTAGGGCATTGGGCTATCCTGGGGCCATCATGCTGTGAGGAACCAAAGTGCTGAGATGGGTCATGTTTGGGTACTCTTACAGACAATTTGCCTTCAATCCATCTCTGCCCAGGTGACAAAAACTTTAGCAAAGAAGATAAATGCAGTTTTCAGTTGGAAGTCACCCCTAACCATTCGAGGCTTCCCAGCTGGAGTTCCAGGCTTGGTGGAGTAGAGATAAACCATACCCTGTGCACCCCACTTCAATTCCCATCCCACAATGGAACACAAAAAGTAAAAGACCCAGATACTGATGTTGTGGTTCAAATTTCAAGCTGAAGAACAGAAAAGCAAAGTAGCAGGCCAACTAGCTCTACTACCTCAGGCTGAATAGGCTGATCCGCTGTGTGGCTGGAGAATCCTGAGACTGAATGTCTTCCTATCCTTAGTGTAGCTGGAGAACAAATGCCTGATACTGAGACTTTGCTCCTGTGTGTCTGACTTCTATGACTTGTGGCTAATTTTGCATTCTGAATCCTCAGGAAAGCTTTAATAAATCATAAATAATATATTACTACACCACAGGATCTGTTAGCAGAACAAAATGGTGTTTGTTTTACACCCCTAACTTCTGGCGTGGTTCACATTTGCTAGTCACTGAACAATCGTTGTGATTGGTTTCAGGAATGTATGAGAAGAGACACACATGTGTCACCTCACCCTTTAACACAACTGGAAATAGACTACAGTGGCTATCATTTTTTTTTTTTTTTTAAACAAGGAATCTGTTTCAGCAGAGGTTCACTCACAGGTTTGCGAACATCAGGTAAGGTGATCCAGAGAGGGAACACGATGGGAAGAACAATCAGGAATGTGACCTGCTTGCGGGCATTGGATGGCCAGGACAGGCTGAGGGGCTGGTCATCCTCTTCCTCAGCAGTCTCCGTGGCTGGCTGCAGAAGGAGAGGACAGCTGTAAACAGGCAGGCACTTGGGGAGTGATGGAGGCCACAGACAGCAAGACTGCAGAGTAAGTGAGGACGTCCTGGGCCTCACTAGGGTTTTCCCAAGCCACCCCAGCTGCTTTCACACCATTCTTTTTCTGGAAGCACCCCATATGTCACAGCCCAAGGCTCAGAAACAAATAGTTCACCACCCCACCAGAGAGAGCTTTCTTTTCATTCTTTGGGTATCTTATGGCTTCTCATGTTTATCAACTGATTATTTAACATTGATTGTAGTTACTACTCATGGCAATTTTTTTTGATTCAATTGTGCTTCTTATCCAACTGTACAAAGTAATGAATTTCATTATATTTCCATACATGCACATAATGTACTTTGATATACTTCACCTTATACTTTAAAAAAATCACCCTTCATGAACAATATCTGCTGACATATTGACCTATGACTTCATCTCCTTTTGCCTAGGGCTGTGTTATGTGATTTGGACTCCTTGACTCCCTGGGAGGAGGAACACAGGGAAGAAATTAAAACTCCCCTCTTCCTCCTCCCCCTTCTTCCCTGCAACTGCAATTCACCAGGCATACAAAACTCACTACAGAAACAGTTTAGTGATAATCCGGGGGATGTCCTAGCTCTACTCACTCAAGATTAAACTCTGAAATGTTTGTATGGCTTCCTAACTTGCTTAATCAACTGGGTGAATTCTAAACCATTTCACTTGTCACGAAAGGCACACTATGCAAACACACACCTCAGGACTCAGAGGAGCAGGGTCAAAGGCTAGTATGGCATCCACCATGCCTGGCATCCCAGAGGCAGGGTACAAGCGCCAAGTCTCTCATCTGGCAACCCACTGCCTGCGTTTTGGTGGCCTCTGCTACAGTCAGCAGCTCTCAAGCCCCAGAGGCAGATGAGGATCTGCCCAGCAGAATGAGCACTGGTTCATGAGATGGGACACAGAGTTACTGCCATAGCACTGCTGACACCACTCATCACTCCCCATCATGCTTGCTTAGAAACAAAGCAGCAGCAGCAGCAGCAGGGCAGAGCACCAAATCTAAAAACATCAACAGGCACCTTTGCAGTGAGGTTTCCTTTAGATACCACGGAGAGCTCCTTGCAGGCCTGCAGCATGCACTTTCTAAGTAGCAGCAGCAACTCTTCAATGACTGTATCTCTAAGGTGTGTCAGGTGGGAAAGGTTTGGGCCACACATCTTAAGGGAGGAAATACTGAACTAGAGGTCACAGCTAGGTGTGTACAGGTTCACAGCAAAGCTACTGCTTTTTAGTTTCTTTACTGGAACTCAATAGGGATGGACGAAAAGTCTGTAATGGTTTATGAAATTATTCACCCTTCAGCCTTCTCCAGGACCATGATACAGAACAAAACAAAACCAAAAACCAATGAAAACTCAAGGGATTTGAAAACCATATTGGAAAAGACCAGAAATAATGTGGCAGTGGGTAAGAATTCTCAAAGTACAAATGCAAGAGAATTATGGGGATTAGGTAAAGCAGTTGGCGGTGTATTTTGGTTACCCAAACCCTCATCAAGTACACATATCACCCTACTCCAACTCCTTTGCTAAAGTGACACAAAAGCCATTCTATACACCGTTGTCTTTACTCTTTCCCAGGGGTTCTGTCCCTGATCCTAGTCATGTCATCCTTGGAGGACAGGTGACCCACAGAGAAAACCATCCCCTATGAGCTCACACACCTAGGGTGTCAACCGAATACAAGAATGATAATCTATGCATTATGGTGCAGTGAAGACTAAGGAGGCTGGGGCATATCATATTTCCTTCCAATGAGGTCTTCCTCATGTAACCAAATGAATGACTTTCCCTTCCACACCTGGTAGGTATCCAAGAAATCAGCACCAAGAGTTGATGTACTATACCAGTCTTTATGAGCAGGGCATTTCATACCAAATAGGGGGTTTAACCCATCATAGGACCGACTGGCTTCCCTGAAGACCAATCAGACGAATTCACCAAGTTCCTCTTTCTGCCTGGGTAGCTTCCCCTCTCCATTCTGTCTCCTACCACCACCCACAATTTGGCAACTTCTCTCTAAACTCCAAGCTACTCTTTTTTTTTTTTTTTGAGAAAAGACAAAAGCAACTCTTTATGACTCATATCATTTTAATGACACCAACAGATGGTGACATTTCATCAATAACCCTTCTGCTTGTAACCAACGGATTAGCTCTTTTTCTCCATCTGCCAAAGTCACCAGGCAGGCAGCGCCGCTAGCAAATAGCAAAAAAAATAATTGCCTATTTGGATGCCCAAGCTCTAAACACACTAATGTCCAGTGCAAACATTTAGCTGTGTTGTATAGAGTTCAAGGGCAGTGTTTAAGGAGGCTGTTGCTAGGGCAGGACTGGTCTAGGAGAAAAGGCTGTGCTTTAAGCTATGGCAACAGAAAACTCCACTCTTCGTGGGGACAGTTCCTCTGCAGGGAAGTGAAGGGGTCTAGAACCTTAGGATGGATATGAGAGGTGCCTCAGGAGCAAGTTGTCAGAACACCTCAGAAGGAATTGTTTTTGTTCTCTTGCCAAGGAAATATCATTTTAGCTCCATGGGCAACAGCTTGCAAGCTGGCTAGAGACATGGCAGAAGAACACACTGTTCCAACAGGAGATACAATGCTTGCATTAGGCTTGGCCCCAAGCAAGAGGCCATTGAGGTAAGGCAATGAGTTTTCAACTTTTCCAAGAGTTGTGGCATGCCAGCCTTGACCTTGTGATGACACACTCTTGCCTCCTAAAGTGCCTGAAAAGTGTCCCTAGGAAACAAGGGAAGGAGAGCAGGCTACAGCTATGTAAGTCAGAAAGAATCCAAGTGATTTTTGATAGAAAGGCTCAACATGGTTTGCTATCTGCTGGGGTCCTGTACAAGCCCTATGGTTACACAAAACTATGCCAGTGACTATATTTTTAGGGCCTTGTAATCTCTGATATTTAAAAAACAAACAAAGCTTAGAGGAAAACACCTTACTTAGCAGGGCATGGGGGTTTGTGCTTTTAATCCTAGTACTTCAGAAGACAGAAGCAGGAGAATCCTAGTCTTTAAGGCCAGTCTGGGCTATATAGTAAGTAGCAGGACAGCCTGGGCTGTAAAGAGAAATCCCCCCTCTTGATAGTTTCCCACGTGATGGGCACTGCACTGGCCCTCAGATCTAGTGGGATGGGATAAATAGGCATCAGAGTAAGGACTTGCAAGCTCCAGTTTCCAGATTTCTCAGGCAGCCTTTCCTGTCATCTGAAGATTCCCCAGGACCCTTAGGTATGAAGCTAATCATGAACAATCTAGGACTCCTTCACCCAGGGTGTATTGCATTTAAAAGGAGAGGCAAAACCAGATGATCCCAATGCACTGATTGTTGGCTGTTTGCTAACATGAAAGGGGAACCTCATAGGGTCCCACCCATAAACAAAGAAGTACAGGCAATTAAGAAACACCCAAATGGTCATCCCTGAAATCACAAATACACAAGTTACACTAAATGGACTGAACAAGTTGTGTTTATGTATTTATGCATACACACATACATATACCAACAATGAAAAAGAGGTCATGTATTTGTGGGGAACATGTGGATTGTTGAAGGAAGGAAAGGGAGGGAGAAATGATTTAAGTTTTAATTTAAAAACATTGAAGAAAATGAAATGCAGTGGTTTCCATCCCAGGTCGCTGAAGGGGAAGGCAGCAGCCAAGCCCAACAAGGAGCTTTTATGTGGGCCTTATTGCTTGATGCCACCCCAGACTCCTCTAACTGTGGATAACCCCATTTTGGCTACCTTTAAAATGAATATCTAGGGAACACTGTAGAAAATGAATGGAACCCTTTACAATATTAAACCTTCCTGGGACAATGTCAGCAAGAGCTGAGCTGATCAGTCTCAGACTCTTGTGCAGTGTTTGAAGGTCATGATGCCTCCAGAGAAGACTGTATACAAAAACCCAGCACCGTCTTTATCGGGAGACTACCTGTCTCCCCTTTCATGCTTGGAGCATTAAATAGAAGCTCTTTGGTAACATGCATCATCTCTCAAAGTAGGTCTCCATGGGAACTGGTGAAAAGGTGTGCAGGTCTGGGCAGTGAGCCTGTAAGATGCTCCCAGAGGACATCCTGACGGCACTTTATCTAAAGATGGGACAGCTTCAGGAAGGCACAATAAACATAGACCCACTCTTCATATGGTTCCTATGAAAAAGGAAGTCAGACAGAAAGCTGTTTAAAATATGAATTCTGTTCTAGAAGGTTCCTTTACAACATTGGTGCTACTGAAGAACCACCTGAAATGATTCTTGTAAAGTACTTAGAACAGTTCTTGGCACCCAGCAAACATTCATAACATGGCTGCTATCACTCTTAAAAAAAAACAAATAGTTGGGAAAATAATTTCTTCTAGGAGAAAGAAATTTGATTAGCTGAATTATCATTTCCAACAATAAAGCCCTACAATTCAATTATTTGATATGAAAGTGGAAACTGCAATGATTTTCCCCCCATCTGTTCATTCATCCAATATTTATTGAGCATTTGTTGACTGCCATGATACCAACAATCTAATTTTCTTCTCTCTTAGTTAAAATGGATAAATAGAAGGCTCTATAAACAAAGAGGGGAAATTCCACAGCCCTGAGGAGAACCACTATTTTATTCAGTAGGTAGCTTTGAGCTGACTTTCCATCGGAAACTGAGCTTCTAAACAGATGGTAAGACTCACAATATTGTGACACCTTGACTCTGAGCTCTGTGCAGACTTAAAAACAATACCAGTGCTGGGATTCTCAAAGGCGAAATTACCTCACATGCACAGTGACTCTTTAAAACAGTGAATGGCTCTATGGTCAACAACTGATTGGCTGGTAGAATGCCTTGAGAGACTTCCACAGATGCCCATCGTTATGTAAACACCAGTCCACCTGTGTTTGGCAGAGGAAAGGTACAAACTGACTCGCTCCATTCT